ACTCATCATAACAGGATGACAAGCACGTCACCGAAGCAGAATAAGGGGGTGGGGGGGTTCTATGTATCAACCACAGCCCCCTAGTGTATTTCATTAGTAACATTCAATTTGAAAATAAGATTCTGAGATGAATACTAAATTGAACAGAATGCTAGCAAGTGTGAACCAGCACCGTCCCACGCAAACCAAGACATACAGCTACCCTCCCTGTCAGTGGCTTTTGCAAGATTCCCATCCTGTCCTTAAGCTTTGTTCTTTAAGGGATTCAGAGTTGAAAGGTGGCTCAAAGATCACTGAACTCATCTGTCAACTGAGAAAAGGAATTAAGATCAGAGGCAGAAGGAGGTGGAGAACCTCAGACTTTCTGACAACCAATTTGGTACCTTTTCTATTATACCCTGTTGCTTCTAAGTATTGAAAACTCTGTAGTAAAGAGAGATTCATTCTATGGTACACCCTGTATCATGCAGACTCACTTATAACACTGCCTGTCTTATGAGATAATCTTCAGTTTTTCTTGTAAAATAATAGAAATATTATAGTGTAATCATTTACAGATTTTGCTTAAAGACTAAGGGCATGGGGATGATGCCTATTTCCTTATAACCCTTATCTTATAATTTCGAATACTGTGCTGCATGATGCTAGTTATTTTTAAAGCTAAATTTAAGTCTCCAATGAGTCTGTTTAATACCCCTTAAGGATTTTGTCTTAATGCTTTTTGAAGAAAGAAATTAAAACTGGCAAATCAAGTGTCATATGAGCATTAAAAGAAAGAGGAGAAAGTTTGTATCTAATAATAAAAATCCCAATAACTTCTTACCAGGTTTTTTAGAGCAGCATTATCACTCTTTAGAGATGTTTTATTTAGTTTTCTTTCCTGCCTGTGATAATGTAATACTTAAAGTAGGTAAAACATTCATTTCCATAGTGAAGACTATGGAGAAGCAAAAGTAAGGAAAGGAAATTACTTGGAAAGAAACAGTGATTTAGAGTTGGTAAAAGTCTCCACAGAGTTCCTCCAGCAAACAACAGCTGTTTCTCAGGTTCTTACTGAAGACCCCCATTAAGTGGCTATGATCACATCTTTAGATGCAAAGAACTTTTTTACTACAGAAGGAAGGCAGCATTTTTTATTTTATTTTCTGCCCTTATTTAACTTCTTTCTTTTTTTATAGTGGTAGGAAGAAGATTTTATTGTCTTCTCATTTCAGAAACGTATTTGCATACAGGTTTTTTTGTTGTTATGCAAATTTGTATTGCATCTGTTACATTCTGCGTTTGGGGGAGGACTACAAAGTGGCCATTTTTCACAAAAGGGAAGATAAAGATTTGAGTCACAATAAATATACAAAGAAGTCTGAATTCGAATTGGAAAGATTATTTTATTTTTCTCATCTTTGATTTTAAATAATTAAGTGTATTGTCTCACAATTGATTGTCCAGAGAGTTCCAATTATGTAATCATGTGTAGTATGCTGTCCAGATCTGATAGCCTCACAGTCTTCGTTGATTGAAGGGGAGAAGTGGAGAGTGGGTGAAAGTCTACAAAAGCTTATTTTAATTAAGATATATCCCCGACTGATAGACAATCATGTTCAGACATTATCTCATCATTAGTCAACTCATCAAAATATCACTTTTCAGAAATCCCCTGATTCTTTTCAGTGGCTTTAATGAAATTATTCTAAGAACCCAGTGAAAGGATTGAGATCTAGTGTTCAGATAATTGCCATTTTCCTAAGAAATAGACTTGGGGCCTCCTGAGAAAGCAGATCATCTGGTGTGACATTTGCAGCAAGAGAAGAAGTAGTGTTTTAAAAATTCTGCTGCTTAACAGAGGAAACACCAGTTTATTTCAGTCTTTTTTCCCAGCATCAGATAAATGATGAGATGCTAATTAATTAGTTGCTAGGCAGAAATCTGGGAGACTAAGCAATCTTTCATTTACTCGGATTTTTCTAAGGATACTTTTCTATGTATATTTTTATTCTCATAAAAAATAATCATTATACCTGTATGGGATAAAGTTAATTATTCATATTTAGGAGTTTATGAATGTAATAATAAAAATAAACATTTTAGAAGGACATAATTTTAAGCAGCTCTTTTCTTTGTATATGTATGAACATTTTTTTTAACATTTGTGGTGGCTAGTGAAGAATCTTCATGTTTTCTTAGTGTTGCTTGCATTTAGGATATCAGATTAAAGGATGCTTCAAATGTAAGAATATTCATTCTAAATGTTACAGTTTGGGTGGATTTGCAAGTGATTTCTCATATGCTACTTTTGTTGTGTGTGTGTGTGTGTGTGTGTGTGTGTGTGTGTGTGTATTTTAAATCCTATCAATATAATGTTATCTCTAGAGATTGTCTTCCAAATTTACAATCAAATATTTTTTGTGATAATAAAAATAGGGAAAAGCCTCCAGCTATATTATGTTATGGTTATTCAAATTAAGAATTCTGATTTTTTTTTTTTTTGCATTTCCATCACTTTGGGAATCATTCAGTAAAATTTTAATTTATATTGTTAGCAGCCCAGGATATATTGTATTCAATGTAGCTGTTTGATTGCACCATTCTTTCTTTTCTTGATGTAAAAGTTCATGTTTGTGGCTGTGTTTTGGCTCTGTTTTCCAAGATTTGTTTAGGAAAGGGATAAATGGAGGGGAGAGGGAGAAAAGGAGAAACACTACAAATTGCTCATTTAATGAAATGCTACGTAAATTGGGACATGTCCTGAAAGACAAGTGTCACATCAGAAGAATTTACTAGTCATTTCATTGACATAAACATTATCAGCATAAATTAATTTTTAAGATATGAACTCAAAGAGTAAGTATACTTAAAAGAGAAAAAGAAAACGTGCTTTCTTATATCTGTGGGCTGTAAAGTACAAGCACCTCTCTTAGGGTCTTCTCAGGTCCTCCTCAAGTGTACGGTAGGTAAGAATGTCAGAGTGCTGATAGCAAGCGGCAGAGAGTCAGTTAGACATCGACTCAATGTTGTAATAAATATGGAGATAAATCACCATCCTGCTTCTCAGCACCCTTTGTAACCACTGGGTTCACCAGGGTTTAACATATGGCTATTTAGTAACTGGGAAGTGGCGATGGTCATCAACTGTGAATTTTCAGTATTTCGTGGAAATTGTGCACCTTCATTTAGTGATGGATTTACTGTAGCTTGGAGCCTCGGCTTTGCACTCTCTCTCAGCCTGAGACCCTGTCAAGGCTGGAGCTCCAGTACCCTTATTTTTCATGGTTGATAGATGACCAGTTGCGCTTTTCTGAAAGGCGTTATGATTAACCTTGGAAATTTCCTTTATGCAGTAAAAATAGAAATATTATTTCAACTAATATTTGTCGAGCATCTTAATAGGTATCAGATAATGTTCCATATCTGGGTGATGTAATACCCATCTACTCAAAAGAGAAGGAGTGGTGGATAGACAATTATATCTAACAATAAAAAATCCAATCTGGAACATTCTTTGAGAGTGTAAGCACGGAGTATATTAGGAATACGCACAGTAGGGTCATCTATTCCAGATTTTAAAGGAGGAGGAAAAGAAAGAGGAGGGATCAAGGAAACCTTCCCATAGGGATGACTAGAGGTAATGAGTACCTAGTTCTGGAAACACGGGACCAGCATCAGGGTGATAGACTACGCTATGCAATGCAGATAATTATGCAGTACAGCTATTTCTAAATTAGAACTGAGGATTCTTCCTTTGTCCACATTCCTCTTTTTCCTTTTTTCCCCCATTTCCTTTCACCCCTCTCTCCATCCCTACCGTCTTCTCTCCTCCTTCTCTTCTTCTTCCTCTCCCTCCTTCCTTCATTATGAGCTTAATAAGCACAGAATCTTGCTAGTCAAAAGTTTTGGTTCGTGGGTTAATGTCATCATTGGACAATCCCTGACCTTTAATCATTCATTTACTCTTTTATGATGCTATAGATATATTTCATATACATAACTAAATTTTATATATTTAACATAGTTGTGAAATATTAACAATGATGACCTCCCTCTTGCTTTTCTCCTCTTTCATCTTCTTACCCCTTCTAAAAGATAACCATTATCCTGGATTATGTATATTATGCTTTTTTTCCACTGGTTTTCTTTGTTTTATACATGACATTTCTAAATGATACATTGCTTCATTGCTTTTTAAGTTAACAAATGATATTTTTCTGTATATAATCTACTTGGGTTTTTTCCACTCACCATTTTACTATGTTTTAATTTGTGACTGATTTCATTCAGTTCCACTTTAATTAATATTCCATTGTGTATAGGTGCGGCAAATTGTCCATTCTCCTGTAGATAGGCAATTGAGTGGTTTCACTTTATGTTGTAATGAAAGTGCTATGAATATTCTTTTACTTGCTGCCTAAGACATTATGTGAAAATTTCTGCAGAGTATATACCCAGGAATGGAAATATTGGCTCAAAGGGTACACTGAGGTTAAACTTAGAAGATAATCACAAGTTGTTTTCCAAAACTATTGTACCAACTTGCAGTCTCACCAGAATGATATGAGAGCTTACGTTGATGCATATCTTCTCTAACACTTGGTCTTCTGAGATTCATTTCTATCAATCAATGCACCATAATATATGAATGCTATCTAATGGTATGTGGCTTTGATTAGCACTTTCCAGGTTACTATTGAGATTGAACATCTCTTAGGTATATTTGTTGATCATGACTATTTCCTCTAATCTTTAAATTTTAAGATTTTATTAGTCTATACTAACCAATACTTTTTATTTTTGTACTGACAGTTGTTGTAATATCTTAATCTAAAAAGATATAGTCATTAATGTGAAACAGACATGACAGTACTATACAAAATGGTGGGCACATTTCTAATAAAAGATATGCATTCAAAATAATGGAGAAGTCAAAACAATAGGTAATAGTTACATTTTGAAATTATTTTCATGACTTTTATTTTTTCACAACTTGATGTTTATTTTTCTTTCGACAGAACGGTTTCGAGATTTACTACTTCCGCCACCTAATCAAGACTCCGAGATTCTGCCCTTCATTCAATCTAGAAAGTATCCCAAGTAAGCACTAGGAGTTCACTGGATATTGGGTGGGGATGGGCGCAGTGACAGGGGAGGCTTGGGGGGACAAAAACAAAATAGTTTCTTTCTAAGGATTTCTGAAAAAGCTAAAATACTCCAACCTACTTAAGGAGGGCATCTCCTGCACTGTAATGTCTCAGGCTCTTCACACCTGGGTCAGAGAAAAGAGCCTTGCCTGCACTACAGCCCAGCTGTGAGTAGGAGTATTTGCAGAGGTCGAGCTGTAAGTTACCTGCACCGGTGTCTGGTCATGCCTCTTTTTGCTTGATTCTGTATCAACAGCGACAGATATTTTGTGGGTGATCCCTCATCTGGTGTCCTGGTTTCTAGCCTTTGAATGCAAGGATTCATTCATATTGTAATGAGTAGTTTTCAGATAACCACCTGTTAGATATGATTTTAGTAATTTCTCTATATTCTTCTTTACTATCTTGAAGATTACGGGAAGTGAAATCTCCTGGCCCTTTCTTATGTGGGGCAGAACTGTTCTTCTCTTAGATGCCACAAGTGTACTTATTGGTTGAAGGCATATGCCTTCATCTTCCCAGAGAATCAGTTAGTATGTTTTTTATTAGGCATCTTATTCCTGAAAAGCTGATGGATGCCTGTATCTTGATCCTTCCTGTACAAGTTTGGAGTACGCTCTACTTCATGGTTGTCTTACTCTATTTGCTAGCTAGTCTACAACAAGCTGAGGAAGGAATAAACTGATTTCTCATATAGAAAAGGAAGGTCAGCAACTTGAAGAATTAGAGCTTGGTTTATACATATTTCATCAAGACCAATCACTATGCTAAATGACTCATTCTTTGATTGACTTGGTGGTTTATTCAGGTATCCACGGGACTTCAATTTTAGAATAATTTTTTCCCTAAAACTTAGTTTTGATAATAGTGACTTACCTCTGATAACAAAAATACAGGATCTGAATTATCTGGTCATTATCTTTGATATTAATCCTGATTTAATATCTAGCAATAATCTTCTAGTTCCCTCACAGGGACCCTCCTGAGGGACATACAAAACCTGGACAGCGTGCATATTACTTTTCATGACAGGGAGCATGGAGGAGTCTGAAGGGACTGACACATGTCTATCAGTATTTTTGCCCTCAGCTGCTGTTTGCAGAGGGTAGTGATGCCTGATCTTCTGCCTCTTGCACTTACTATCCACCTCACATATTTGTTGAAGAGGGGAACCATAGCTGCTTCTCAGATTATCCAATGGTAATCTGTTTCCCTCTATTTCCCTAGGTTTCCTTAGCTCTATGTTTTTAACATGTATCCCTCTTGCTCTTAGGTTGCTTTTCCCATAGTGATGTTCCAATATCATTCTGATATTTAACAGAGATACCATGAGACAATCCTTTGTCAGTGTCTAATCCTTAGGGTAGTTTTTGTGTTTGTTTTGTTTTTGTCGGGGGCATCTGTGGACTAAAAGAATAAAAGTCACCCATTGATGCCACATATACCATGTTGGGGCGAGTAGGAGTGCAGACTGCCTCACGAGCCATGCTTTGTGACTCAGGTCACCTAACCCTCTGTACCTCAGTCTCCACCTCTGTGGAAGGGGAGAAATAATAAGACCTACCACCAAGGGGTGTTATGTAGATTAAATCAATTAATAAACAAAAAGATATTAAGAACTTAGCTGGACACATAGCGATACTTCATATGTAGCTGCAAGTGTTGCTACTCATTTAAAATTGCATATAGCATTAACTAGATCTGCATGTTTCCAAACAAGTTAGTGAAGTAGACTATTCATTGATCTTGGAGGATAGGTCTTATGTCAGGATACCTTTATCACTCTTCCCTTAATAATATTTGGGGAAGAACTATTTATTTAATATTTCTAGATTATGGCTAGTTGCTGATGCGAGGCACTGCTTTGGTGAACACTTAACATCATTATGAGACTGGGAGTGGTGCATAAACAATGAATTTTGGAACACTGAAAAGAAATAAAATAAAATAAAATGAAAAAAATCATTACAAGTTTCAGTTTTCCAAATTACCCAATGAAAGCATGCTAATTAAAGAGACCTTTAATTAAGAAGTCTGAATAATATTTATATATTTACATAAAATAACTATATAAATAGAATATATTTATTTAAATATATAACATTAAATAATATATAATATTTATATAAAAATTCTGGATTAAATACAATTGGCTTATTTAGGTTTATTTAGGTTTTATATTTATATAAAATATAGTTTATATAAAATATGTATATAATATATAATATTTATATAAAAATTCTGGATTAAATACAGTGTCTTATTTTAGGTTATAGAATATTAAAAATTTGCATCCTCCCATTGTCCATATAATGTCTAGTTTGGGCTAGAATTTTAGGAGGTGCTGATGAACAGACAAAGGGTAATAGTTCTATTTATGTTGTGCCTAAGGAGTGTTAAACTGGTCCAAGGAAAAGCATAGGAGCAAAAACTCTGGACATGTAAATAATGGCCATGTAAAGAAGGCTGGGGTAAAAGAAGAGGCAGTTGTATTAAGAGCCACTTGATAAATATAAGGGGGCAGGGATCTGTGTATGTCTAGACCTAATTTAAACTATTTTGGGATTATTCATGGTTTTCCATATTCTCATTTAGTCTCATTTGTATTCACTCTTAAATATACTATCATTTATTCATTACTGAGGATGGCTATAAGTCAAGGAATTTGTCATTTCATGACATACAAAAATTTCTGGAAAGCTGGAAATTTAATCAGACCCTTAGTGTTTGTTGTTCTCATTCACAATGTCATAGACCTATTTGTATGGAGATTATTCTCCCTCCCTTTTCTGCTTGTTTTATGACTCACTGAGTATAGACCCTATTAGGGAGAGATGTTTTAGGCGTTAAAATATGGTTTGAGAAGCAGCTTGTTTGCCCTGTTATCTAGTGTCACAGGGTGATGTGTATAGAGCGTGGTATAGTTGAGCTTCTTTAAGTCAGACTCACTCTGCCCTGGTTAATATGAGTTGGTGAGTGGACAGTGGTTATTGGATTGAGCGTAGGATCTCTAGTCAGGATATTGTCCCTATAATCTTAAGCAACTGGTTATCCAAAGACATATAATAGATACTAAAAAAGGGAAATTTTTGTATTTTACTTAGTAGAGACATAATCATGGAGAAGAGAACTGACCAGTTCTTGAAATGTGTGTGTATTTGTGTGTGTGTGTGTGTGTGTGTGTGTGTGTGTTTTATGGAAAGCTATTTAAAAAAAAAAAAAGTTCCCTGCTGGGAAACATTGTTCTATTCATTCATCACATTCTTACGTTTGTGATCTTGCATTTGACACTTTGATAAAGCCTGGCACATCCATTCTCTTCAGATGTATGCAAAGACATTGCCTCATGAAAGTTCTTGGAGCATGAATAGGTGTGACCATTGTCAGAAACAAGTGAATGAAAAGAAGAAAAGGAATGTATACTTAATATAAAATAAATGTTGATTCATAGGTTAGAGGAAAGAAATGGAGATAATGAAACTTGCTTTGTTGCTCATGTCTTAGCTGGTGTCACTGTTAACTCTGAGGCATTTGGGTTTATAACATATTTAAACTAGAGGGTAACTATCAATATTCTTATCCTTGCAGTTTGGAGAGATGAAAAGGTTGAAGACATTTGGCATAATTTTGCTCACAAATGACTTGCAACCATTTTAGTAATTACACCAGCAAAACATGATTCAATGGTTCGGGAAGTTTCACCATATTATGTATAAAAATATTGTGAAAATGTAGGCATAACATGTGGCATAGCTTTATTTGGTTCTCATGAAGATCAAGTACTAAATGCTTAATCTCAGTACTCTTCAGAGAAAGATATATTATTTAGGATCAAGTTCAGAGTATTCCTTTTGACTTGGTTTGCCACCAGAGGATAACCTTGATTATTTAGACAATAAAAGCAATGCCTCAACCCATTCTCGTTTCCAATGGACTGCTTAAAAATGGCTTCAAGCGGTGATACCAGGTGATTAAATGCAAAGCCTCAGAAGACATTTCTAGATTTCATCTATTCTCCAACTTGTCTTCTTTTCTCTTTCCCAAAGAAAATTTTGGGTTCCTCTTCTTGCAGAGGCCTCCTCTCTCTCTTTAGTAATTTCTGTTCCATCTGTATGTATGTAATATATTTGTCACTGGAGCTAAGTTACTCCTATTCATAATAAAAACACTTAGCACTTAACATTTTCTACATTGCCATGATTGTGTTATGTGCTCTATAGGTATTATTTAACCTTTGTTATTTCCCTATGAGGTAGGTTAGGTAGTACTATTTCCCCAGCTTTGCAGATTTTATATATTAGAGAATTTAAATGAGTTAAGTGACTTAACCAAAGTCATATGGAAGAGCTGGTTCCCAAATTCAAGGTCTGCTTGGCCCCCAAATTATACCCAGTTATGCTATACTACCTCTCATCCTTTCATCTGTCCATTTTTCCATTAGTCCATTCTTCAAATATTTATTGAACAATTACTGTGCAGTAGAACCAGTCACAATTACTGAGGATACAAAAATAATGAGGACATAACATATGACTTTGAGGAACTAGAATCTGTTGGGGGGGAAACAGAATCGGACTCTAATGGAGAAATTAATTATAGCAATGTGATAAGACCTATAGTTATAGAGAAATGCACTAAACTCAATGGGAAAAGAGAAGACAATGTGTCTTCCAGTCTTGGTAATTCATGGAAAGTTTCATTTTCCCTTGGAGTAAAATCTGGACAAATGCTATGGAACCAGAAGAAGAGGCTTTTTAGATGGAACCAAGAGCACAACAGAATATAGAGCTGTGAAGTGGGCTGTTCAATGACAGATCACCTGTGGGTGTTCCAGTTGAAAAAGCTTTGTGTGTGTGTGTGCGTGCATGTGTGTGTGTGCACATGTACACATGCGTGTGTATGTGCAAATGTTCATACATATACACACACTGAAGGGCTGGGATATAAGGAGAA